TGGGCGGCCGGGCGGCCCGCGCCGCGGGGGTCGCAGCCCGGCTCCGCGGGAGCGGCCGCCGGCGCCCTGGGGCGGCCCTTTTGTCCTCCGCGCGGCCGGGCGCGAGCAAGGTGTCTTGCAGCCCGGCCGCCTGCACGTCCCCGGCGCGGGGCCCCGGCGTGGGGCGTGGGCCGGCCCGGGACCCGCCGGCGCCCTCCTCCCCGCAGGGCGTGTCCGGCTTCTGCTCGACGGGAAAGTTGAATGGGAGGACCCGGGCGCCGCGGGCTCGAGCTCGGGCGACCCTCGCTCTCCCTGTCATTCTGTCGCCGCTCCCCTCACCCGGCTTTTCTTCTTCCTGCCCTATTTTCTTCTTGTCTCTTCTTACAGGTAAATAACCTGGATCTTATTTTGAGACTGTTAACGTTTGACGGGATGAACTTGTTCGTTGGCAAAATTAATATTTAAAATGGGATCCGATGAGCCCAAAGTTGAAAAGGAACTTTACATAAGATGCTTGTCAATTCGAAGATTTTTAAAGGCCTTCACGCTACCTCGTGTATTTCTGTTATTTATTTAGTGACTTCTCTTTTTTCCAGGAGCATTGGTAGCATAAAGCCCCGGAAACAAAGAATGTGCCATGTGGATGCTGTCCCTTGTGCCAACTTTACTTTAATACCCCTGTTCATTTAGTCAGGCAATTACTTAAATAAGCATGCACGGCCAACTCGGGAGTACTAACCCGGTAGGATTAGGCCCGTGCCTGTTGTGGATTCACTGCAGCATCTCACAAACATGTTGGCCAGAAGATAATGCGTCCATAGTAATTTTCATTGAAAGTCCTCCTCCATGTTTATTAACAAATAATATGTCTCGGAATTTTACTGGACTTAATTTGTATTTCATTCTACTGAAAGATAAGCTAGTGTCAGTGCGATTGCATCTCACTTTTCTTCCCTGTTATTGTATTGCAGGGCACATTTTGGCCAGTGTCCACAGGGTGATATGGTGTGCTCTTCCATTAAGACTGTCAAAATCTTAGAGATTTTCTTTGTCTCTGATATTAGTAACAATGAGAGTCTATTGCATTTAAAGTGTTTGCAGATTAACATGGAGGCAGGAGGATCCTGGAGAGCAGTCTCTGTTAGAGAGGAATCTTAATATGTTTAAGAACCCAGGCCCTACTTAAGAGTCTCACCTCCCCCTCTTATTTGACTATGTGACCTTGGACAAGTTACCTAACATCTCTATGCCTTAGTTTCCTCATTTATAAAATGGGGCTCTTGTCAGGGTGTTTTGAGGACTAAATGAGACCATCTGTATCATGGTATTTAGTACAGTGTAAACTCATAGTAAGCACTTTGTAGATATTATTTACTATTATTGATTAAGCGACATTAACCACTGTACCAACATCCTAAGACTTTTTAAGGCTATTATTAATGAATCTTCTCAAGACGGATTTGGTGTGTGTGTGGGGGGAGATCTCAAATTCCTTGAGATTTATTCATTGAATTATGTTTCCTGTCTCAAAATCTTCTTTGCATTGTTTCTGCTAGTATAATTAATGTAAAGTATTAAATCTAAGCATCTAAGAAGGGGAATGTCCCCTTTTCACCCATCTATTTTTATCTAAATTGTCGTCATTACTTTAAAGCATGCTGAATCCCACAAATAACTCTGTCAAACTTTTCTAGATTTTTAAGGAGGCAGAATATTAAACAATTACTTGGAAGCTGTCGGCCGAGCTGGAGGAGAGAATGGTGTTGGCGTGGTACTTCAGAACGCTGCTTTGTTTCTTTGAAACTTCAAATTTGCTTATTCATCCATATTTCAAAAAACTGAATATCAAGCACAGTCACACATTTGAGGGAAAGAGAAGTTCTAACAGTAAGACATTACCTCTTTTTTGTTGTTGAATAGTGCTGGGGATGGAACCCAGGGCCTCGTGTATACTAGGCATTCGCTCTACCACTGAGCTGTATCCGCAGCTTAAGACAAAGGATGTGTTAGCAGCCTGCACAGTAGGTAGCTGTTGAATAGCTCCTTGGTTCATCTGTGCACTTCCTTGTTATCTGGTTAATATCTTAATTTATGCATTGACTTCTGTAGGCATGACTTTGACTCCGATACATTTGTTATACATGGAAGCACATGACTACTAATAGTCTTGTTACCAAGTATTTTTCCACTTCCTAAAATGTTATAACTCATATTCTAGTTATTAGAAGCACTTTTGGAGGCACTAGTGAAGTTGGAAAGAAAGAAAAGGCTGGAGCATAGTGGGGCTGCCCACATAGTTTAAGCTATCTTTTGCCTGGGTTCTGACATGAGCCACCCCCATCCCCTGTCAGCTCTCTGACCATCACACTATTATGAGAAGGAGGGACATTTGTAGAGTATGGTTTTGATGCTCTCTCTTCTATTCAGTAAATCTTCACCACTTTGCATCTGTACATGGGTCAAGCACGGACTTTCTCAATTTCTTTTCTATGAAGAATTGTCAAGAGATTTTCTTTTTAAAAGAATAAATCCCAGTTCTCCAGGTCTGGATGGGACCCGAGACTCTGCATTTCTGCCAAGTCCCAGATGATACCGCTGGGACTGGTTACAGATTTCTCTTTGAGGGCCAGGGCTCTAGGTCCAGTTTTCTGTGGTTCCGAAAAGGGCCTGAGAGTGAATATTTGAGCCTTGTGGGTGATGTGGTCTCCATCTCTGTCATAACTTCTTAGCTTGCCCTTGCAGCTAGAAGGCAGAAAGCAGGCCAAGGCTGAACACAGTGCGCAGGGCTGTGTTCCAAGTAGAACTTTATTTACCACAGAGGGCCAGATTTGGCCCTCAGGCATAGTGTGCCAGAGCCCTGCTCCATGTGCCCCTCGCTGTCTGGACCATAGGGTGTCACCCTTTCTGCATGTCAATCTTACCAGGGCTTCAAGGCTCAACCAAGATCATACCTTCTCTCGGAGGCCCCCCCCTTCCCAAATACCATCTACCCCTCCCTCTCGTCTGCCCTCCCAGTGCCTGCTGTTTGGGCTGGCATGCAGCAGGTGCTCAGCAGTATTTCTGGGGTCCCCTGATGGCCTTGTGGGACGTTGGAAGGATTAGATAATTTTGTATCTGAAAGGTGATGAAGACAATGTCTTGTCCATGGCAGTCGCATTATGGGTCTGCTTTTTTGAGTTTTTTAATTTATGATACCAGTCACATCTTGTCTGTGCTTCTCAATATTAACTGTAGTAAACTTATGTACTGGCCAGGACCAAACACAAAGCACTTTGCAAGCACTGGTCACAGCCCATGTGGGCTTTGGAAGTGGAGCATCATCCAGACATTTGATTCCTGATTCATAAGCCTACTCCAGCTCTCTTCTCAAATTCCACAGCCTCCTCTGGACTCTTGTGTCTGCTCCTGGCTTCCCTCCTGACATCTGGCTGTCGGAGGAGCTGTGGTCCTTTCAGGTGTATGGTAGCTGGCTGCCCTGGTTTTAATAGCTCCATAGCCAAGGGTTTCTTGCCCACTGGCCTTCACCTCCCTCATCATCTGCCACTGACTTCCCCCCATCCTCTCATTCTATCCTCACCGTTCGTATCCTGCAGAGCATTGTACAAAGTAGAATCTTCTCAGGCCTCATCTCCACACTCACTTGCTGCATAGCAAGGTTGGTCAACTTGTCCACAATGTTCACAAATAGGAAGAATAGGAGCCACTTTGTGCAGAAGGCAAAGTAGTATTTTCCAGTCAGGAATCTTGGAGTTTAGGCCCAGCTGTGTAGTAAAGTGATCCTGTTTCCTTGGACAACCCATAAAGTCTCTTGAGGATTTGTTTTATTATTATTGTTATCATGGGTTTTCTCCTCAAAACAAGGGGCTGGCACTTTGTAATCTCTTTCTTCTAACTTGAAAATAGGTCCCTAGAACAAACAGCAGCCATCTATATAAAGGAACAAACAACAACAACAAAAAAAAATGGTTCATTCCTAACTCATTCATCCCCACCTGGGAGGATGATAGCCTGGAGTAAGCAAAGGGTATTTCTTAGTGGGAACAAGACACCTTAGACACATCAGGGGTCTCCAGTGCTGGAGCAGACACAGTGTGGGTGTGGAATTAAAATTTCATGGAGTAGGACAGGTGAAGGGGAAATGTATGAAGCGCTCAGGGAGCATAATGAAGAAAAGATTGAGAAACGGCTTTGCCTTGTTCCAGGGAGAAGAGCTGCTTTTCTGGGGGAGGCATAGGGGCAGGATACAGAATGATTCCTGTCACAGCTTTCCAGAGTGCTCCTCCCTGAGGCCCAACTGAGTCAGCCTGCAAGTTCACCAACTCTGGTGTGGGGGGTACTGACCCCTGGTGGTAAGGATATCAAAGTGACAGGTAGCATTGGAAGGCTACCTACCCTTCCATTCCCCTCTGAGTTTGTAGGCTGGTCTCCATCAAGACATAGGTTGACTCTTGACTTTTAGTAATTATAATTTTATGAAAAAATCTATAGTTAATTTTTTTTTCCTGTCTAGCTGGCCCATATGTAACATGTTGACTTATTTCATAGAATTTTAGGTACACATTTTAGCATCTCCAGAGTTGGGACCTGCTTAACATTCAGTGGTGTGTTGGCCCCAGTGAGACTCTGCTGTGGTTTGGATGTAGTTTGTCTCCCAAAGGTGTATGGGCTGGAAGCTTAGGTCCCCAGTGTGGCAGTACTGAGAGGCGGTGGATCTCTAGGAGGTGGGCTAGTGAAGGGTGATTAGGCCATGGGCCCACCCTGGGAAGGAATCATGCGGGTCTAACGGGTCTGGGTCAGTTCTCTCCAGAGCCAGTGGCTATAAAGCAGTGCGCCTGGCCCTTCCCCACTCTTATTTCTTTCTTGCCATAAGTCCCCACTCACACCAGCTACTTTGTGATTCCCTCTACCATTTTGTGACCCAGCCAGGAGACCCTTGCCAGACACAGAAGCCATGCTGTTTGGATTCTCCAGCCACCAGTGTCAGGGATTCTCATAGCAGCACAGAGTGAACTAAGATAGACTGACAGGAGGAGGCTTTATTGCCTGAAAGGGGCCCTGACTGATTTAAACAGAAAGGAGGATGCACAGGAAGGCTTGAGGCTCTCTGAAAGTAGAGTTGTCACCAGGCTTCCTGGGTGCCTGGAACCGACTGGGAGGTCATCAGAAACCAGGGCAGTACCTCCAGTCATCTCTCTAGTGCTGCATGACCCTCCCCCTAAGCACTTTCCTGACTTCCTGATAGGCACATTGGAAATCTGCCTCTTGACCCTGTCACCACCCAGCTCTAACCACACCAGCCCACGGACCAGAATCCCAGGCCTGAGAGGTGATTGCTGCAATTTTTAGTTTTACCTGTGAACTTTAAGAGGGAAAGCTGGTGATTCCATGGAGCATTTGGAGTTTACTGGACAACTGGGGAAATTTTCATATCCCTTTTTTCTGATCGTAGTAGTGGCTGCCATACGCTGTGACCTTGTTCCAAGCCCTGTGCTTATGGCATCCCCAGGTTAACCCCAAGAGGTAAATATCTTTTATTATCCCCAACTTAGAGAGGAAGAAATTAAGAAGGTAAGAGGTGACATGTCTTACCCCAGGTGGCTGCTGGGAAGGTGGGCAGCCAGGTTTCAGCTGCTCAGCCTGAACCAGGGTGCATGACGCACAGAGCGATCCTTCAAGGTCCAGGAAGGGGCCGCAGGCAGCTTCCAGGGCTGGGAGAACTCAGGGTGACTCCCAGGGACCCCAAAAGACACCCTCAGAGACCCTCTTCCGTGTTTCACTACCTATTGTTCTTCAGCTCGTTGCTGCTACTCCACCAACCCTTCAGCATTCCTGCAGCTTCCCCTTCCCAAAATCCAAGGGGCATCTGTCAGCCCGCATCTTCCTCTGAGCTCTGGGTCAGCAGAGATGCCCTCAGCTCTCTCCTCCAGGCACAGCCTTAACTTCTGTGCCCGCGCTCCTCGTGCCTCCCTGCGTCTGGCTGTTATTTCCTCCGTGGCTCGTGCTTTTCCTTTCTCTTTCAGTAACACCATGTGGTGTCATTGACATTCACTCGGTTACCTTCCTTCTCGGGCATTCGATTCTGGCCTCCCCGTGCCTCTGTCCTAGGCCTGCTTCCCTCTTGTTTCTGTCCTCACCCTGGACAGTTGTGTTCCCTCCCGTGGCTCTGACTGCCATGATGCTTGCTGCCTGTGTCTTCATTGGGTGGATTTTGCTTCCATGATGCCTTAAGTAACAGAGGATGCCCTTGCAGACGTGCAGCCAGACCTCTGTCTAGCTGTGCAGGGCCTCGCTGTCGACTGTTTCATCACCTCTCTGATCTAGTCCCCCTTCCCTCCCCTCCTCTTATTTTTTTTCTTCCTTTCCTCCTTCTTTCACCAGCCTGATTCAGTGAGTGGTACCACCTGCACCCAGTTGTTTTGGGGTTTTGTTTTTCCAGTACTGGGGGTTGAATCCAGGGTCTCCTACAAGCTAGGCCTGTGCTCTGCCCCTGAGCTGCACCCAGCCCCATCCAGCTTTTGAACATGAATGTGTTGCTCTGGCTCTCCCCCACCCACATCCTCTAAGTACCTGCCTCCTTTGCTCTCAGCCTAGTGTCCTCATCTTTCTAGAACTCTCCAACCCTGCCTCCTTATTAGTTTCCCAAGCTGCATTTAGGTGTTCTTTTAAAAAACAGTATGAGACTTGTCACTTTCCTGTCTCCAGGCCTAGGGAGAGTCCAGATTTCAGGCTGGAGTTCAGGGTTCTAGCGTGCCCTGTTTGTTCCTTCTTGTGCTTCTCTCCCTGCTCCCAGACTCCTCTCTTGCTTCCCTCCCACACTCCTGAAGTTTCTTAATGGCCTCCAACTGCCAATTGTCTGGTCCCTCTAGGCCTCTGGACTTTGCATGGGCTATTCCCTCTCCTGGATTGTTCTTCCCTCTCTTGGGTTATGTCACTTCTTCAAGGAAGCCCCGCCAGCCCCATGGTACTTCCCATGGTACTTCCCATGGTATCTCAGGATCCCCCTCACCAGCAATTGCAGCATGCTGTTAAGGAGAAAGCGGTTGGTTTGTATGTCTTTGCCCTTACATCACAAGCTCTGTGAGGATGGATGTGGGCTGCTCAGTGTGGCAGGTCCTAAAGATGCCATGCTGATAGGACTTGGCTTTCTGTACGTATCTACCACACTGGGCACCCTGTGTCCTGGGGCTTTAACTTCATGCCAGCACACAGGCTTTGCGTACTTGGGTGGGTCGTGTTGTTTCTTTTAAAGAAACAAGGTGCTGTGGAAGTCAGAGGGCTCTCCTGGCCACACAGATGGTGGCTGACCAAGGGCAGTGACAGAGTAGAGAAATGGGGGCAGTGAGCTCCCCAGGTGTCCCCAAGAGGTGCCAAGGCGTCTCCACCAGCTGTGAAGTCAGAAGGTGCCACGGGCAGTAACAGGACACTCAGGCCGCTCATGCAGGGGAACATGCTCCAGACCTTTCTTCGGGCAGTGACCCTGTGATGATTCGAGGGAAAGTCTGACTGAGCCCTGATGTAAAAGGAGGGAGCTGACCTGGGGGACTTCCGGCCGTGTCGTGTTAGTTTAACCCGTTTAGCGAGCTGCTGCCTGTGGCCCCCTGTGGGTGCTTTCCACAGGCTGGCTCCAGGTGACTTCCCGGGGTTCCTGCACATCGTGCCAGCAGATTCATTTCATTTCAGGTCACACTTGGCCATTTGTGAATATCAAAAGTAAGTTGCTAACAAGGAATTATTTGATAGGTCATATGCTAAGTTTTATTTGAAATGGAAGGTTTGATGGCCCCCCTGTGTGCCCAAAAAGCACAGCACCCCTTCTTACTTGTCACTTGGGCCCCGTGTTTGTGCTTCCCCCACTTTGAGGCCTAACTTGCCCCCTCTTAAATGCGTATGGAACTGGTGCCATAGGAATTAGGAGTGCGGGTCGACCCAGGTTGGAGTCCCATTTCTTCTCCGCAATAGCTCCGGGACCTTAGGCAGTTATTTCAAGGTTTAGTCTCTTCATGTGTAACTTGGAAATAACAGTAATATGTGGCTTCTAGGACTCTGTGTGCACTCCATAATATGAACACAACATTCACCTAAGTGCCTGATACGTGGTCCATCCCCCACAAGCAGGAACTGTGGGTACAGCCTGAGGAAGGGCAGCAGAGGCATCCAGCAAACAAGGTGTCCTCCTGGATGGCTCTTCATCTCTGCTGTCACCCTCCCCCTTTCCCAGGTGGAACGGCATTTGTGATTGGTCTTTGGAGTCCCGCTCTCCTCAGGAAGGATGCGTTAGCCATGTTACTAATGTAAAGTCGGGAAATACAAGTTTGGTCTGGCCTCAAGTTTCCTGATTTACAACTCTTGAAATCCTTGGACTCTTCAAAGTGATGATGGCCTTTTCAGTTGCTAATGATTGACTGCTGGCTGCCCCCCACCCATAACCCCCCTCGTGGCCCCAGGATAGGAGCTGGTCACTGGAAAGACCCAGGCAGGCCTGGAGGGTAGGACTTTTGACTGAACTCATGGAGGAGGTCTTGGGGGTGTGGAGAGGCCAAGGAAGCCCCATGGCCTTCTCACTCCTGTGCCTTCACCTGTGCCCTGTGTAATAAACCTCTTAAATGCTTCCCCAAGCCTCTTGAACAAATTCACATAACCCAAGGAGGGGTCATGGGAACCCCAATTTATAGCTGGTCAGAGGCCTGGACTGTGACAGGCCTGTGAAGGGGAGTAGCCTTGAGGATGGAGCCCTCCAGCTGTGGGATCGGATACTGCAGGGGAGAGGTGAACTGAATTAGAGGACCCCCCAGTTGTGTCCGCGCAGATGGAAGAGCCACAAGGGCTTAGTGCAGGGCAACTCCCTCCTGTTTCGTCATGGTGTTCATGTTGACTGGGGCGAGAGCAGGGTAGTAGGCAGGCAGTTTGTTTTTCTCTCTCCAGGAGTAATTTGCTCAAGGTCACGAAGAAGGTGATTACAGTTCTGGTATAGGTTTGGGCTAGAGGTGCCGCTGCTCCTCTCCCACCTGAACTGGGAATCCTTACTGGTCCCCACTGGCTGTGCACTGAGGAGAGACCCTGAGACCTACAAGCCCACAGAGGCTTCTGCTCT